CTTATATCTTAAAAAGGTGTTTATTATTTAATCATGTTTCATTTCCAGCTTTTTTATTATCCTCTTGAGTTGTAAGCCCTGTTAACCCCCACATTGCCCACTGATGTGTTAAATAATTGCAGGTCAAGACTCCAGCACTTAACCTCAGACAGCTTTCATTTTTCTTTTAGTTAACTGAAAAAAAAGCCATCAATCAAAAGGATAAAGATTGTTAAAGTTGTCTTCATTTTCATGATGTCAACATCACAACATTTTATTTTGCTTATTTCTAAAATACATATTTTTAAATGTAATAACGTAACGAAGGGTTTTTGGTTGTCACATCAAATCCACTTTTACTACATACGCAACAAGTACAAAAAATGTTTCTCAAATATCTTTGGCTCTGACTTTGTGGAATGCACTTCCTATAACATTCTGTCCTTTAATACGCCTCCAAAGGACCACTCATGTAACTGGCCTTTGTCTCTCCTCATGCTGGCTAGTGCTCTATGTTTCTTTCGTCCTATTTTAAATACCTTTACTGTGATTTCGCTATATGTGCTATACTAAATAGACTTTCTTTACTCACTTACAATTTAAAACAATGATTTAAAAGGTACATCACATCAAGAATCCTAAGAATAAAAAGCAAGTTTGGCTGTGTTATTAATTTAAATGGTGTAGCACTGAGGGTAGATCCCAAGTTCTCATAATAACACTGGTTGAAAAAAGCATAACAACCTAATTTACATCGCTGGATGAACTCTTAATTCAAATTGAAAGGCATGAAACAAGATTTGAATATTTTCACAGCGAGACAAATTTTGATGGGAATAGATCTCGACATGTTTATTAAACAGCGCTGATGAGACTCTCTAGTTGTCAAACGCTCCAGGAATTATGGGAGTAGAGTGACAGCTTCCTTACATGCCTGTGTGTACAAATGTGTTTTTACAGCGTGAGGACAGGCAGTTATGGTCGAGTGCGCCTGAGTGTCGCTCCCTGGAATGTTAGGTGATACCTTTTATGTCCTCTGCGGTTGCTAAAAAATACTTAAAGTGGACCTACAGTATCATGCTATATTTGAATAATATAGTGTAGGACCATACCTATATAAGGCATATTTATACTTCTTTTTTTTCAAAATACCAAACAGATCATGCATTTTAGCCATGCCTCATTTTGCTCAATTTGACATTTTTTAGCTCTGTTTTGCAAGGGCAGATTCAGTGAGAACAGCACCATCTACAGGCCTGGCATATGTACTACAGCGTCTCCAGCGCTTTCGAACGGCAATGGCCGTGGCTGTCTCCTCCTGATTGGTGGAGTTGGCCCAATAGCCGTAGCGCCACCGTCCTGACGTCAGGACAGTGTTCAAATCTGGATCAGTTTTTATCAGATCCGTTGCAGCCCCTTTTTTAGAGATTTGGGTATGGAGGAAAATAGAGAGGGTTGTGTTTTCTGACACTTGGTGAGTTCCCTGGAACACCGGGGACACATATTCATGTATAAAAGACGTACAAAAGTGCATTTTGCATGATAGGTCCCCTTTAAGGGAACCCTATAGACATCCTAATTGTCCTATTGGTCTTTACCAAGAAAATCACATTTGCACAAGGTGTAGAGATCAGTTCATAGAAAGAGTAGAAGGATGTGTTAATATCAGAGCTAAGATTACATCAGGTGGAAAGCTGTATAGGGTGAGGAAGGAAGGGAGCTCTCATTCAACCTGTCCATGTCTCGCACTAATCAATCTTTCTCCCAGCTGTGTTGAACATGTTAATGGAGTTGTTAATCATCAATTATTTATAGTGAAACTGTGAAGAATTCAGATATGGATACGGCATGTGTGTGAATAGGGTGAAAAGTCAAGCTTGGAGAGATCTGAGGATATAATCGCACCGTTTCAGTACAGAGGGCCTTGAGTACATCACTTAGATCAACGGTGGCTTATGGCACACACAACCAGACACACAAACACACACAAAACACACACACTCACACACAAACAACTTGCATTTAAAAAAAATCAATGGCACCATATTGACAGATTTCTTTCTGCTGCGAGTCTTCGTTGTTCTGTGACCTGTGTGCATTCTTGTGTGTGTGTGTGTGTGTGTGTGTGTGTGTGTGTGTGTGTGTGTGTGTGTGTGTGTGTGTGTGTGTGTGTGTGTGTGTGTGTGTGTGTGTGTGTGTGTGTGTGTGTGTGTGTGTGTGTGTGTGTGTGTGTGTGTGTGTGTGTGTGTGTGTGTGTGTGTGTGTGTGTGTTTGTTTGTGTGCGCTTTTGGTCTTTTCCACAGCTCTAGTTTCTACTCCAGCATAAGGTTACCCAACATGGTCTGTGAAAGATTAGTCATTCTGGTCTCAATGAGGAGGTAGCAGAAAGCTAAAGCAGTAGCAGATCTTGTGGAAAACCATTTTCTCCCTCTCTTGTTGTTGCGTTTTTAATTGGACACACTTGGTCTGTAGACTTCATGTTAGGAGGGTAAGTGGCATGTTGATGGTCCGTTTTATCGTCTGTTTAGTTTGTGCAGCGTATACAGAAGTCCCCTTTGCCTGTTTGTTTCTTTAACAGTAAGAGTGCTTGGCATTACAACGATTTGCAGATTTTGTTTGTGTTTGAAAAGAAAAGTAATTAACATACCACTCTTACACCACAACTGGAGGTAAAAAGCCGAATCAGTGCAACGACCTGGATCTGTTTTCTAAACCATTTGTTGTTTTTGAGAGTCAAAGCAATAGTTCATCTTACCATTACTTTTAAAGGCAAACATTCAATGGTTGGCGGATATTTTAGTATCCTAAGCAAAACAATAAGTATTGAATTATTGAGAAAACATTAGGAGTTGGACGAGCTGATCAATATCATTGGCTAATTCCCAGGTATTGATTGAAGAGAAACATTTTCTTCCTCTACCACCCTTATTTTTGTCTTAGTTCTGGTTCTGGTCGAATAACGTTGTTCTGGTCATGAGGTTAAGCAAGAGATTAGGGTTTCATAAACGTATCATTTAACTTTTTTATGGCTTTATATCATATCATTGTATCAATCATAATTGTATCATGTTGCTAATCCAATTGATTCTGTTTCCAACATCTTCTCATTGGACATCTTAACCAGTTCTGAATCAGCCTTCTTCCTGTGTGCATCACAGATTTTGTGTTTTTTACCCCTAATTGTCCTTTGTTTCCTGTCGCCCCTCTTTACTTGTCAGGGCGGCTCTGTCATCATCCTGTCTTTTTACTGTCCGCCCACCTCCAGTTCAACTCCCATTCTCTGTCATTGTGACTCTCCTGTCCTTTTCTTGCCATCTGTCCTCATCTCACACAATCCTTCCACCACATCCGTCCTCCCAACAATTCTTACTCTCTGTCTCTCTCATTTCCGCTCCCTCCTTCATTCTCTCTCTTTCTCTGTCCCTCTCTATCTCTCCATCTCCCGCTCTCTCACAGCAAGATGCTATAACAGGGCCTGTTAGAGGATGAGTCATGTCTGGAGTCTTTAATTAAACATCTGCATCAGGCGTCAGCACTCCATCACTGCTTTTCGTCTTTTGATAACTTAGTTGTGTTCTCTGTATTCTATATGTCTGTGTTATCTGTAAGAACGTGTAACGTTGCTTCCTTCTTGGCCAGGTCAGCATTGTAAATTAGATTTTATCTTAATGTTTTTACCTGGTTAAATAAAGGTTAAATAAACAATTTAAAACAATTAATCACACACCCATACACACACACACACACACACACACACACACACACACACACACACACACACACACACACACACACACACACACACACACACACACACACACACACACACACACTCACAACAATCGATGCACACCTCAAATAGCAGATAACTACCTAATGTGAGCTTTATGCTAATGAAAGTTGCACTAGTAGGGATTGATTTCATGCAAACACAAATGGCACAAAAGAGCAGAGCAGTTTTCTAGAAGATGTGACACACTGCAGTTTAAATGGGAACCCTTGTGTCTGGAGGAAGCTTGACCCATACTGTGACTCTACAGCCGGTTCATAATGCACTAATGTATGCACAGCCCCAGGTACCTGCAATGACCTGACCTACTAAAGCCTGCTTTGGGATCATTAGGAGGCGCTCACCTTGAGTCCCTTCCCTAGAGCAGGTGTTATGTTCATGTAAGTGATAAAGAAAAAATAACCTCTACAGTATGGTTTAGGAGAAGAACTTGGGGTGGAAAATATCATATGTTTTTTTATGAACACAGGACAACATTCTATATACAATAGACAAGTGTGTAAATGTGTTGTCCTTTTTTTTAAATGCAATGAGTTAGACTGTGTGTGTAAAGGTATGCAATTATGCGTGGTTATACAAGGAGCTAAACAAATTGGACTTTGGTTGAAAGAAAAACGATGAAGTTGAGACTTCTCTGACAGACGAAGTGATGGGGGTCAATGATTATGGCAGAAATGTTTTCCTGTATCGAGCCTTGTGACAATGAATCACTGTGCCTCCGCAATAACAGTATTGTATTTTCAATTCTCCAGAAAGCAGTAGCGAGGAGTGTGTCTTTCTTGTAAAAAGATTGAAATCTTTATAATATCATTTTCTCCTCATTCTTTAATCTTTAATCATCCCCGGCTCACCCTCTTCCTGGTATTTCCTCCCTTATCACTTGTCTTTCTCTCTGCTGGTTTTCATAGAGATAGGTATCTAAGAAGCAGAAGGCCATGATAGAATGTGCTTTCAACGTCATATTTACCCCCTGATGATAATTAATACAAAGAAAACCCTTTTACAGAAACACACTGACTGTCTTTCTCTCTTTCACTCAACAGGTGTTGGAACGAATAAAAAATAGAAGGAGCTTTCGATTTTTCCTGTGACTGTAAACGATTTGCTGAGAACTGGATTCTCTAGTACTCTGCTGCTGATTCTGGGGACTGAGCCTCCTTTCTGCTCATCTGTGTGTGTCTGATTGTCTTATCCTGGGGTCCCAAGGCTTTGCACTGGATGAACTGCAGCCATGGAGGTGGCCCTGGTAGACTTTCAGAGCCTGGATTGTCTTGATGGCAGCTTTGAGGATGGCACCTATGCTGATGAGACCACAGCTCTCACAGTGGACATGCCCCAAGAGCAGTGCAATCCAGGATGCAACTATCTTAAGCGATCCTCTAAAGTCTCCGCCACGCCTTTGCCCTCCTACATTTGGGACTCCCGCTCATCTACGCCCACTCCACACACACAGATTCCAGGAGTACCCCAATCCCCAACCATGCCAACTCCAAGCAGACAGGGGCGCACAAGCTGCGCCAGCATGATCTCCAACTGGAAGTTGCTTCTGAACAGTGAGGGCACTAAGGAGAGCGAGACCATCTTCAGAAAGCTCGCAAAGGAGTGCTGCGAGGATCTGTTTGTAGATAAACGAGGGCTGGATGAGGGAAAACAGAAAGTCATCATCAACATCGCCGGTCTTCGTTTTGAGACGCAGCTCAAAACTTTGGACCAGTTTCCTGAGACCCTGCTGGGGGATCCTTTAAAGAGGATGGACTACTTTGATCCAATGAGGAACGAGTACTTCTTTGACCGGAACCGACCTAGCTTTGATGGCATTTTGTACTACTACCAGTCAGGGGGTAAGATCAGACGTCCTGCTAACGTTCCCCTGGATGTGTTTGCTGATGAAATTCTATTCTATCAGCTTGGAAGCGAGGCCATGGAGCAGTTCAGAGAGGATGAAGGATTCATAAAGGATGTTGACATCCCTCTACCTGATAATGATCTGTGTAGGCAATTCTGGCTGCTGTTTGAGTACCCAGAGAGCTCAAACGCAGCTCGAGGTGTAGCACTGGTGTCTGTTTTTGTTATTGTCATATCCATAATTATTTTCTGTATGGAAACACTGCCAGAATTCAGAGATGAAATCGACCCAATTGTGCCCACAGCAGTACAGCCTGTGAACATATCCACATTACACAGTTCTGGGGCTCCATCTGGAAAACCCACAACTTTCTCTGATCCCTTCTTCTTCATTGAGACGGCCTGCATTGCTTGGTTCGCCTTTGAGCTGTGTGTGAGATTTTTGGTCTGTCCTAGCAAAAGGGAATTTTTTAACAACCTCATGAACATCATTGACATTGTATCCATCATCCCTTATTTTGTTACCCTGGTTTCAGAATTGATCACAACGCCACAAGAGAACTCCGGGCAGAACATGTCTTTGGCTATTCTGCGTATCATCCGTCTAGTCAGGGTGTTTCGTATCTTTAAACTCTCACGTCACTCCAAGGGGCTGCAGATCCTGGGACAGACTCTGAAGGCCAGCATGCGTGAGCTTGGCTTGCTCATCTTCTTCCTCTTCATCGGAGTCATCCTCTTCTCTAGTGCTATCTACTTTGCTGAGGTAGACGAACCCAACACACAGTTTGTCAGCATACCTGAGGGCTTCTGGTGGGCTGTGGTTACCATGACCACTGTAGGCTATGGGGACATGTGTCCTATTACCATGGGGGGTAAATTGGTGGGCACCTTGTGTGCCATCGCAGGTGTGCTGACCATCGCTCTGCCTGTTCCCGTCATTGTTTCCAACTTCAATTACTTCTATCACAGAGAGACGGAGGCAGAGGACAAGGTGCCCTTGGTAGAAACCGTTGAGCAAGCCATGAAGAGTGAGTCGGACACCAAAGAGAGCAGCAACAGCTCGATCAAAAAGGCTAACGGCACCTGGCAGACTGACACAGGGAAACAACCGAAAGAGGACACAATTTAGGAAGGGAGACTTTGATACAAAGCAGCAAAGAAATATCAAAGAAGAAGAAAAGGAAATGAACTCAAAAGGATCAATGAGATATAATAATTGTATGTTGCAAAAATGTGTTTTATAAGGATAAATGGGATGTTCTTACCTCTTTTGTCTAATATGTACACAATTACATGTTTTAATATCCGACAAGCTATGTTCATGTTCAGGCTACTATGTAATCAAATACCAGTTATGGACTTTATCCTTAGTTGCATAGAAACCGAAATAAAAACTATTTTAATGTCTTGATCCTTGATCCTATTGCTTGTAACATTTTGCACAGCAACTTTCCGATTGATATTATTGGCCACAATGACTCTCAACACAACTTTCAGACACCCTCTTCTCTGTCATAAAACAAAGGTCTTGGAAAGGTTTAAAGCAGTCATGTTTAATGAAAGTTAAACAGAAAAAACTTCAATGTCATAATACAAAATATTTATATGATAACTTTATTGCTGAGCTGCTTCAGGTTAGCTTAGAGGAATTACTTTTCTTTGATACATTCAGTAGTTAAGGAAAAGTAGGCAGCAGGTCTTTTTGTTCTGGAACAAACATTGATATTGTTCAAATCGTTTTTCATCTTCCAAATGTATCTTCTGTGCCACAGTCTGCAGATAACTGCTCAAATCATAACTGACTCGTGGCCACTTATATACAAAACTGGATTGTTAACAAATAACAAAAAAGACGCAATTTTTCCTTCAGTTTCTAGTAAAGTGTTTTTAGTTTCTAGGTAACAGCCCCACCATATTTTTTATTTTAAACTTTTTCAGAATTGTATGTATCATATTTCAATTCATCCACGTAGATACAGTAAGTAGCCGTGGTAAGTATATTCCACTATTCTTAGCTGTCAAACTGTCTCCACTATGATAATGGAGTGCCTTAAATTATGTATGTTGGGATATTGTTGACTTCGCCATACATACTTTTACTGTAAGACTTTTGTTTATCATGCATATGCTCAGTATTATTGAGTTTATTTCTTTGTGAGGATTATTTTCCAAAATACTGTCCAACAAAGAAATGCATTCTGACCTGAAATACAAATGAACATATCCAAAGTAAAGGGGATCCTATAAAAACTATCCCTATAAAAATCATAATTTTGTCAGTGAGGTGGAACTTGTACTAAGGAAGTATATAGACAGCAAGATCAAAAACACTGCAAGTGAGAAAGAGAAACAAGAAGCCAAAGATAATGCTGAATTTAGGAAATAAAGGGAATTGTTAGAAGGCGGGGGAGCATTGCAGGTCATAATATCATAATCCGTCTTATTTTTGAGGAGTAAATGTAAATTATGCTGTATCAGTGTAAGGCTCTTTATTTATTACTATTTGTTTTATAAGATTTTAATAGCAACCTTGGGAAGTGATGCGTGGATTTGGCCCCAGCATTATGATGTTATCTAAAAAAAGCTGTAGGCTCCTGTTATATCTTCTCACAGAGCATATGATCAAAGATGATTTATTATTATGTGTTTTCTGTGTTTTTGACAATCAGCTTTGTGAAGATATTGATATTCATTTTCATGATTCCTGTGTCCGTAAAGTCACTGCTGTACAACAAGTTCTGAGGTAGCCTGACCTGAAGTTATTACCTGCGTCGTCATGGCAACAACTTTAGTACACTAACAAGACCAATACACTGTATTTGTATGTATGATAACATTTCAGTATCCAGTTTACTGTAAAGAACGCAAAATATACTGGGATTTTAAATCATGTCTTCTCATGTCTTATGTGTGCTGATGTGTTTACAGAAAGCTGTGTGTTTGTGTATGTGCGCATGTTTGTGTATGTGCGCATGTTTGTGTGTGTGAGCGCGTGTGTGTGAGAAGGAGGGACATACTGTACAGAGAATTGGAGAGAGAGGGAGTTAGCGTTCTTGTATTTCCATCGGTGTTCCCCTTAAGGGAAGATTCCGTCATTGCTTTTGGTAAGCTGTCTCTGCTTTCACTGTAATGTCAGTAGGCACACACACACACACACAAACACACACAAACACACACAAAGGTAGAGGTCACATCAACAAGCCATGTGTGGCAGTGCAGCAACAGCCTCTTTGGAAGTCATCCAAACAACAATAGGATGCCAGTCTCTGGTTGACATGGAGTAGTCGTCTAGCTATTGATGCCAGTTTGCTTCACCTGATACCTTTCTTTCTGGTCTTGCCTCAACACCTCGTCTCAGGCCAAATAATAAAATAAATACCTTTTTGTTATAATGATTGTTTTTGTATTACTTACAGTTAACAACAACATTCTAAATTAACATCTGCTTCTTTCAAATCTAAGGCATTGTTTAAAGCAACAGACTCCTCATGTCAATAAAAAGGGTGTCAGATCTTTAATACAGAATAACAATACAAAAGTGATATTTATAGTAGGTAGCTGGTGGGCATGGTGGAAGAAATGTGGCACATTACTTAAGGAATCACAATAAGCATGACAAAGACTGTCTGATGACAGCATGGGGCTTTTTTCTGTTAATGAATATTCATATATTTCAGGAAGCATTTTTATATCAGTTTGTTTGAAACTCTTGTATAATTAGCAATGCAGATTAAGTTGTAATCATAGGCAACTCTCGAGCTGAATTTGTAAACGGCAACTGTTGTGTTATTATGCAGGGATGTGAACAACAACACAAACACAGTGTTTCCAACATGTCAGACTCTTTGAGTGCTGCTGTAGAGAGCAGATGAGCTTTATTTGGCAATTCTTTCTCTCCTAAATTGTTTCAACACTGTTGTTGCATCTTCTCATTAAAACCTCAACTACACAAATAAACAAAACAGGAACACTATGAATGGTGAATAGATGAATAACCCTGATTGTTACTACATGGACGTATAGGATATACTGTAAGAGGCATCTAAGGACAAAGAGTGAAAACTGAGCTGGCGATAAAAAAGAGAGAAAGGAAGGATGAACGTCTGTAGGGTCGACAAGGAGTTCACATGCAACTGGTAATGGACTCTGAGCGAGAAGATAGGTTACAAGCAAGTGTTGAAATTGGTAACAATTGAATTTGATCTTTTATAAACACATACATCTGTGTATGCGTGTAAACATACATACAAAAAAGGACTCTCCTGAAACGATACATTTTGATGAACTGTTTAATAATACATTTTCATAGAAAACAGTTACCGGTATAGAGAAATAGAAATGTTCTTCTTTGTGATTTCAAAACGTCGATATTGAGAGGTCAAATACAGGCGTAACTTATAACCTTACAAATACAGTTATTGCTGTATTGTAATGAAATAACAGCTGTACTGGAGCCATCGTTGACACAAGCAAAAGTAAAATTCAAGAAGCAGAAGCCCATCTTGCTTTTAGGGTGGTCCAGGTTTCTAAGCTTGCCAAACATGCTTAGGTTAAACATTGTTTGGTGTACCCTAATCATCAATTTAAAACTCAAATTTGAAAAGGAAATTCCCATTGGAAATGCTCAATCCTGATATCATATAATTTAAAAGAGGACTAAAACAGCTTTTGATATTAATCCTTGTGTATCTTTCTGGTGATTTATTCACAATGTGTGTCTGTGTGTGGGTGGTTGTTGTTAGGGCGTCCCATATTCCCGTGGCACTTTGAGGTTTTACCAATCTGACTGCATTCCTGGCAAGGTGTTGTCTCTAAAATTGTATTCTATTACAATAGTGACTGTAATGGAATACTCCTCATCAATCACTAATCGGTAATATAATCCAAGGGATTACCTAAACTCAATAATAGATTCTTCCAGAGTACCTTCCGTATTTGCTGCAAAAGTAAATAAGGTATAATATATATAATTAAATCTGAAATGACAAATGCATACATATGTTTTAAATACAAACTGTACGTTGTATCTTGATATAAAAGTCTCAATTTGTATTGATTTCTGAGTTCCTCGTGCCCAACTAAACTGTTCCCCAAAGTAATCTTTCTATGATCTGTATATATCATTATGATGTTTGAATTAAGATTAAAACATTATCTTGTTTAATTTGGTGGTTTTTTTAGATGTTGTAACAAACTGCATTGAAGATTGTTGTTATTAAAGTCACTTAACTTTAAGTGGACCACACATCAAAATACATCCTCTGCTGTGATATATATGCACATACAGTAGTACTCCCACACACATATAAAACAGGATCGCATTGGAATTTAAACACAATGAGATTGACGGCAACAGGAGTGTGGGTCACACTGAGGCAGGTGCAAAGATTTTCTATGACTGTTTTCAGAAAGAGATCAGGCTTTTTCACCCAAATACTCATGATCCTGTTTGAATAGGTGACAGCAGGAGTGAAATCTGTTGCATGCAGTATTTGAAGTTAATGCTGCAACACTGTTTGGACTTTTTAAGGCTAACAAAAACATACACACACAACTACAAAGAAATACACCTTCATGAAATGAACGCATGAGAACACCCAGACTATGGGCCTCATAGTCCCTACCTATATAGTTAAATTCAAGTGTGTTTTCTTTATTGCACCTTCTTCCTTTTTAGTATTGGCATGAAAACATATTAGGCATGCAACAATTCCCTTATTAGTGCCCGGTTGCCCTTCGTATAAACCCAATTTCCATATATTCTGCTTTCATAACTTCTGCGAGTCATACGCTGATGCTAGTGCCCTTTCTTCAAATGTAGCTTGCCCTTGCCCCACAGAGAGACCGAGTGTGCCACTGCATTTGCGTGAGTTTGTGTGATCAGAAACTGCACAGTGGAACATCCCTGTCAAGTGTTTAAAGATGCATGGGAGTGCTCCATCATTAACGAGATGCTTTGATGGAAAGTTCCACACAGGAGTGAGAGATATGGGCATCAAGTGAGACACAGACAGACACACAACAGGTGAAGGCTGGGAAGAGAGTTTGTGTGGCACGGAGTAAATAGCTGGCACGCAGTTTGTTTCTTTTCAAGCTTGGGCTTCCCTCCTCTGAGCCTCATATTGTACAACATGTGTGTTTTCATTTAGACCTGCCTCTGTGGATTATATCCCTCTGTCATAAAGAAAAGGAAAGACCCAGATTTGAATGGCCAGGTGAACAAAACTCTTGGATTAGGATTTTATTTTGTATGTTTTGGGGGGGTTTTAATTGGAAAAAATATGTATTACTCTGATTTTCCTACTTTTTATATACAGCAAAATTGAAACTTGCTGGTGTTTTCATGACAAAAAGTTTGGCCAATTTTACATTTTGAGATTC